CCCAGGGGAGGGCACTGCCTCCCAGCGGCTGGGTTTCGCAATTTATTTTATTTTCCCTCACCATTTAAAATTTATTGTACTGTGTGATATGAAATTTTTGGGGGGAACTTTTTCACGTTATTATTATTGCTTCAATCTATTGTCCTAGATTTGATTGTATTTTCAATTCTTTTATGTTTAATTTGACTACATTGTACTTGGCTCATTTCAAAACTTTAGTTTTTATTTAATTAGTGTATTGTGTTGTCCATCCAGCCATTCTCTGAACCGCTTATCATGACAAGGGTCGCCGGAATGCTGGAGCCTATCACAGCCGCGTTGGATTTTAATTTGGTGTACCGGATTTTAATTGAATTCAGTTATTTGACCTGACCTTCTTCTCCACAACTTTTGGGTCCATGTCGGGCACCAGGCGGATGGAGAATTTGCCGTTGACTTTGCGAGGGATAACCGTCTTGGCGCCGGCGTCGGCAAAAGCCCCCTCGATGCCGTGCAGAGAAAGCGACGGGTACCTCCAGCGGTGCATTAGGATTTGCTCCTGCAAGACGAAAAGGAAAACGGTTAAATCTCTGCGCCGTGGACTCGTTTCACTTTTCGCGGCGGCCTCGGCTTGCCTTGGTGCTGTGCAGTAGCTTCCCCACGCCGACGTCTTTGCAGTACTCCTCCAAGTCAAACTCGATCTTCTCGTAAAGTTGCGTCTCGTCATCTGTCAAAGGAGCCACGTCTTCGTATATGTCAGGAATCAAGATTCTCCCTCTCCTGTCCACCAGGGAGCCTGTCGGTGAACCAAAGGGGTTAAAACTTGTGTCAGATGCACACTTGGACTCACTGTCAATCTAACCCACTTTAAGTTTTTTTTTTTTTTTTTTTTTTCATATGTCCCTCCGCATTGAGGAAGGCTCGGCTACAATCTGAGCGACAGGATGCAAACGGTGAGCTACAAAAACAAAACGTCCGCTTCACTTGCCCATAAGTGTAATGAGGTCCGTCATGGCCTCGTGGACGGAGCCGCCAAATACGCCCGAGTGCAGGTCCTTCTCACAGCCGTCCACCTTTTAAAAGTAGCGTCAACGTCGTTACCAACGTGCTGGGTGTAAGCCCCCCCCCCTCCCCTCAAAAAAGTCAATCTGTCCACCTCGATGAAGAAGTAGCAGATTCCCCTCAAGCCGTAGGTGATGCAGGGCTTGGTCTTCCCCAGCCAGTAGTTGTCCGAGATGCAAACGTAGTCCACATCCTTGAAGAAGCTGTCCTTGCGCGAGAAGACCAGTTCGTCCAGGCCCTCTGAGCCCGACTCCTCCATGCCCTCGAAGCAGAACTTGATGTTGATGGGAAGCTCCTGCCAAGAAAGCGGCATCTCACGATGAGGTTTGGATGACAAGAAAGACAAGTGGCAAAAGCATCCAACAAGGAGATGCGAGGACAAGCCATTTTGCACGGCGAGCCTTTGGACGCTCAACCTCCTGAAATGGTCACGGAGCAATCAAGCAGATGGCACATGACTCTTCTTGCGGAGAGTTTTACCTTCTGGATCTTCTGGTAGGCTTCGATGCAGTTGAACCAAGCCAGCACGGGACCCTTGTCGTCAGTGGAGCCTCTTCCATACAGCTTTCCTGCAAAAAAAGAAACAAGAATAGTGTTTTGATTTTAAATGGGTGAGGCAGCTCGATGATAATCCATAATTATCCAAATAGTTGAAATGTGATTAGTTCATTTCATAGTTTGATGGTTAAAGTGAAATGATGTGCCTGGTCTTAATGGATTAAAAAAACGGGGGGTTGAGGTCTGGACGTTGGTCACACCACTCTAATGTTCTTGTGTTGAAGCTATGAGATTTTTTTTTTTTTTTTTTTTTTTTTTTTACACAGTAGAAAATGAGTTATGTAAGTTAAAAGCTGAAGAGGCAGGATGGAAGTGAAGGGAAGAGGAAGTGGAGGCGCGACTTCCTGTCAAGTCAGCTTTTATTGTCAAATATGCTCGATGTGCAACATATTTCTCCATACACTTTGTTGTTTTGAAGCAGTTATAGATTTCTCAGCTGACTGAGCACCACAAAATGTGAGTTTGGAGGATAAAGTCCACGCGTGGACGATAGCGACTAGAACGTGAAATAACGACACCTACTACCTACTTTGATTTGGCGAGCATTGAGATAAGACGTGATGACTCGGGAAAGGACTTTGTAAATGAGCGTCAACAGTGACAGGGTCAGCTGATAATGACGACGCACGGCATGCCTTGCATGGAGCAGGAATAATCGAAACCTCTCCTGTGCACCCAAAAGAATCAAAAGGAGTCATACAGAAACCGAAAGCGTCTCTGCATCCTCACAGTCTTTCTCCACATCTTGTTTGGAGGATAATATTCAAGAATGTCAAGTACACTAAGATTAATGCCAAGTGAAGGTGGCGTTTGAAACAAAATAAAAGCAGAGCAGGGTAAGCGGCAACTCTCCACAAGTGAGACGGTCTCCTGTGCACCCAAAACATACAAAACGAGTCATCCAGAAACTGAAAGTGTCTGCATCCTCACCGTCTTTCTCCACCAAAGTGAACGGCTCCGTGTCCCAGCCGTCGTCGATGTTGGCGGGTTGGACGTCGAGGTGGCCGTAGATGCACACCGTCTTCTTGCCCGGGTCTGAGCCCAGACGTCCCAGAATGATTGGGGGCAGCGGGATCTCCTCCCCGCTTGGAAGCTGCCAAAAAAAAAAAAAAAAAAAAAGTGTTACACTTCTTTAGACGGCAAACAAGTTGAGAGTGAATCTGTCGTCGATAGCAATTCCACATAAACAAATGCGATGTGATCAAAGCGCTTCCATGCTCGGCTCACCGTCTGCTGGCCGATGTCCACCATCTCCACCATGCCTCCCAGCCGCTCAATATCCTTGGCAGCCATTTGCATCATCTTCTTGATCTCGCCGCGCTTCTCCGGCCAGGCGGACACACTCTGGACGGCCACCCATTCCGCCAGGCGCTGATCAAGAGCAATTTGACAGTGACAAAGTTAAAGGCGAGGCCTGCAGCCCACTATGCAATTCAGAAAGCTCAGGAAACTGCTTTTTCCCAGAGCATAAGTACAGCTAGATTGCCTCATCTTACCTCCACGTAAAGCTCCTGATGTTCATCTATGTACTGGAAAAGAGCAGAGAGATGTGCCATTGTGTCTGGAGCTGAGAGGAGACGACAGAGGGAGAACCATGTGAGACAACCTCCAGCCCAGCGCTGCCCTATGAGAGGTTGCAGGGGACTAACTCCACCTACTTGCTGACGGCACAGTGTGTGGTTACCCGAAGGAAGACAGGGAACGAGAACTGCAGCTCTACGGTAACGCCACTTGGACAAAATGTGTACCACGTCACAAACTTGCAAATGCAGAGAATTCAATTTTAGGTTGATTTCGGGAAATGTATTTGTCGACTCCTTCAACTTCTGTGGCCCACCGAAGCAAATTATGTGCATCGACTTCATGTTTCTTGCTAAAATACAATAATTGCAAACTGTCTTCAATTCACAACTAAAAATGTTGAGATATTGCAAGCATTTTTGTTACCAACCTCCCCCTTTATTAAAATATATGAAATAATATTTGAGGGGAAAAAACTTTTTATTGGCCTCTGATTTCAAAACTAGTTATTCACCCATTTGTTGTTTAGCGTATTTGTAATATGAGACGATTACACATTCATTTGGGTTCATGGTCATAACGGCCCTCCGAGGGAAACCATAACTATGATGTGGCCCGTGACAAAAATGAGTTTGACGCCCGTTTTAGAGATTTTATATCAAGTCTTTCACTTGACAACTAATAACAGGACAAAAAAAAAACATACCCACCAGAGATGATAATTTTTAAATGTATTAAAGTGCGCAGACTGGCTGTAACAAGTTTTTCTCTGAACACGAGAACAGAAACTTACTGATATCATCGAGGGCTAGCCTTTGGAAGGATGCGGAAGAAATGTGCTTGTTTAAAGAAATAAATCGTTTCGTCTTCCTGTCATTTCAGTAACATCAAGCCGCACCAGTATCTATCATTCTGATGGCCCTGGACAGACCGGATTGGTGGGTCATATCTTGATTTTCCATTTCATCTTTTGTTTTTCTTCCTCTGGGACGCATTACGAAATTGCCTTGGGTGTGAATGATGCAATACATCAGTCTTTATTTATACATAACTTGCTTCATTGTAAAGCAGTCTCCTGATTCACGTTTAACGACACTAGCAGCATTTTAAGCTTCGTTCATAATTAGTTTGACCTGCGCAATGACTGAATTGTGAAGCGTTGAATTCTCACGGACCTAATTTGGTTAAAACGCAGTGGTGCGAAAACTAGCTGTCGAGTCACAACCGTGCGATCTTAGGTGCACCCGAAAATAAAACAAAATTGGTTAGCAATTATTTCATGCAATAATTTCCAACTCACTGTTTCAGACGTGTACCGGTAATCTATTCACGTGACTCTCTCCACGTGACAAATAACTTCCGGGTGTGCTAACGTCCGGCTTCGTAGTCTTAAAAAAAAAAAAAATCACCGATTTGATGGTAAAATATTTTTGTCGGACACACAGATTTAAAATAGAGAAAGGAGCAAATGGGCGAAGGTGTCACAACACGGACGTAATATTTTTATTTTCATTGCTTCGTTGAACACATTCCATATTTAACAGCAAAACCGCATATTGCATCCGTGGTTGTGCCGCAAAGGATTGTGGATCCATATGCGGTGGACAAATTGGTTTGATAAATTGTGATTACTGTAGACGCAAACGCGTATTCCGTAGTCAAACTTGATTTCGTCATAAAATTTAAAATATTTAACTGCAACATGTTTGTACGATCAAATTCAACAATCTGTACAAGTTCCACTTTTTTCAAATGAACTACGTCAGTTTTTCATAAGAGCCATGTCTGTATGCAAGCCTTCTAATAGTTTTCATTCACAAATGACTGGTGACGTTTTCTTGTTGCATGATGTGCGAGGAAACAAATGCACAACAACAGGATACATTGGGCAGTCTGTTTAATGTACAATAAAATGTTTTCGGTTTGTGTACGCATGCTATGAGTCCTTATGGCACCTGCAAAGAAATGAAACATTGAGATACTACAACACTAACATGCAACATTTAAAATCTCACTTTTCCATCAAAGCAGCGCTCTTCGCAAGTCTTCTCGTCCGACCTGCAAACCTCCGAAGAGCACATGAAGTTGATCTGCGGGGTCAAAGTAAGGTATGAAGTTTCCCAAGGATCGCCGTTTGACCTTTGAGTCGATACTCACTTGTTCATTGAGGTACCGCTTAGTCTTAACATCCATAAACTGGAACACCTTCACCTCAAAATGCCTCTGATGGCGATTTTGGGGCAAATTGCTAATTTGCAGGATAGCCACATTTGGGTCATGAGGATTGGCACACCTACATTCAGAAAACATGACATCCCTCATAAGACAACATAAAGTAAGACACTTTGTAAGATAAAATATAAGTAGGTGGCTTGAGGTCCTGGCTTACCCTTCGTAAACGAGCACCAGGGCGTTCTTTGCCGAGCGAGGGAATGCCAGACAGTACTTGACCAAAATGGTCGCATCGGGTTTGGGTGACAATAGTCTCAGTTCCAGGTACACAGGTTTGCCCAGGATGTACCGCAATGTCGGGAAAGAAGGCAAGAAAGATGAAAAGGTCTCGTCTGTTTTGGAATCAAGCACATTGTGATAAATCGCCGCACAATGACATCACAGTATTGTCATGTGAATCGAAGCCCCTAATTCAAACCTGTGGCGATCCTCAGCTGAACGCCATATAAACCATCCGAGGGGATGGCTGTCGGCAGGCTGCGACTTGGGATCTTCACCATGTAGCCGGCGCTGGCGAACGGCTGCTGGTCGTGAGCAGCCAAACTGTAGCGACACTCCACCAAGAACCTAAAATTGAAGGTAAGCTCAAACAATTTATTTGCAATAGGTGATGCATCAAAAAAGAGGGGGCGGGGGGTAAATGTCAAAAATGTTTCAGGACCACTGGTGAAAAGAAGAAAAAAAAAATCTAAATTGTCTAATATTGATAACCTTAATGGATCCGTTCTTGTGATGATGCCGTACTTGAGGTTGAGAGCTCGGACAAGAGTCTGGACTTCAGCCAGGTAGAACCTCGTCATGCCAATGTCCTGAAAGTTAATTTTTGAGGCAGGACAAAGCAATGTCCAATCCTGCTTTTTCCCCATGCGAATATGAGTGACAACTTACATAAGTGCGTGTTCCACATTCGCTGACTTTGAACTTAAAGATGGCAAAGTCGGCATTCACCACAACGGGTTTGCAGTCCGTTCCGGGAATGACCAGCTGGGTGGGGTCCACAGGCAGGGACGCGTATGTGGAGCGGATGATGAATACAAAATGGAGGTCCACCGTGCACTCTGGGGAAAATTTGAAGTTAATGGAGAATGTGAACAGTGTGTGTGACCCCCCCCCCCCAAAAAAAAAAAAACTTTACCATCCATTGGATAGAAGCATTTATCCCTAGTTGGATTCACACAGCACCCCATGGCCTCACAATTAAAGGGCAAAATTCCAGAATGGCCACAGGGCAGGCGCTCCTCAGGGGCCACGGCACATTCTGAAGTCAAATATTAAATCAGAGGTGTTCAAACGTTTTGGGTCCAGGGACCCCCTTGCAGAGAAGACCCCCCCGCCGAAGGATCTCATTCTGCATGATGTCATGTGTCATCGAGCACTCACGTTGTGCCCTTGGCGGCGTGTGCGGTGGCGGCGGCGTGCGGCACCGTGACGCAGGGGTACCGGGTGGGATGCCAGAGCGAGGAATTGGCCCGGGTGTGGACTCCCGACCAGTGTGGCACATCACCGTGGTGACTCGGGTCTCACCGAGCTCGTCCTCGTACAACAGTTGCAGGCTGTAGCTATCTGTCTGGAAGGCATTTGGCATTTCAGTCCCTTTGTGTGTAGGAAAATGACAACTCACACAACTCACGTTCTCGACGTGGCATCCCGTGAAAGGAACAGTTAAGATGTTCTCCAAGCGGCTCGCGTTGAGACCACATCCAGCGTGATCGGCAGGTTGCGGGTGCTCAGCGCCTAGAGAAAGGCAGGGATTTATTTGAACTGATTCCTGTAGTGTTGAACGCGGTGAGAGAAGCTCACTATGGCAGCCAGCTATTGAAAAGCTGTTCTTGTACACACACACGCTCCATGTGAAAAAATCCACCACAGTGGACAGCCATTTCAAAGCATTTTCCTTTGACGACACATGCGCATGATTATTTGTCAGTGTTGGATCAGTCACTACAGTAAAGCCAAAAGCTGTGTTCTTTTTGCACACGGGCCTTGTGAGATTTGAAATCACTTTCCACTCTGGTGACTGATGACCACTCGTAAGAAACGAGAACCTACTCAAAACTTTCACGTCGCGGAACTGACTGGCCGGGAGAATGATCCGAAAGCCTTCGTCGTCGCACGTTACTCGGAAACCGCTGTGACTTGGCTCAGTGGTGCTCGTCCAGATCCTCAAAGAGGGTTCGATTGTTTCTTCCTGGGTTGCAACGGGCGTTGCCCCATCCCGTTTTCCGGGATCGGGCTCCAATGTTTCCACTTCCTCAAAATCAGTAAAAGCGCCTTCGTTGTATTCACTGCCGCTCCCGTCGTCATCTTCCCACGTCCCAGTCTCAGGTTTCAGTGTTTCAGAAAGTGAGCTTACATGATCCTGCTCCCACCCCGAAACCAGAACACCCCAGCTCAGGGCCATCAGCAGCCACAGGTGAGCCATCTGGACCCCAGTAGAAAACAAGCGTGAGCCGGCAGAATCTTTGCAACCTTGGCGCTTTGCACCGCCGTCGTCGTCATCCAACGTCCCACTCTCAGGTTTCAGTTCTTCAGAAAGTGAGCTTTCATGATCCTGTTCCCACCCCGAAACCAGAACACCCCAGCTCAGGGCCATCAGCAGCCACAGGTGAGCCATCTGGACCCCAGTAGAAAACAAGCGTGAGCCGGCAGAATCTTTGCAACCTTGGCGCTTTGCCCCAGGTGGTGCTTAATTGATCCCACTTGCTAACTTCTGATTGGTCAAATCCCAACCAATTAAGAGTCAGGTGTGCAATGTCAATCACATCTCTTACCACATGTAGAAATATTTATCGAGTGCCGTCTTTTGTATGAACGCAAGTGACTCGTGCATTATTGAAATCCAAATTTGATGAGACAGGAAGTAAAGTAAGCTTGATTATGGAGCTGGAATAGTAGAATATAAACACACAACATTGTGGAGCCACCACACGGCACTCCACATGATTCAAAAGCATCTTTAATGCCGCACGGAGAAAAATTTTATGCTTGAATTAATTTAAGAGATTGTTTGTGTGCTGCTGTTTTGATGAGCAACAGAATTCAAGTGACACTGGTATTTTCAGTGATACCATATGTTTAAATATTTATCGAGTGCCGTCTTTTGTATCAACCCAAGTGACTCATGCATTATTGAAATACAAATTTGATTAGACAGGAAGTAAAGTAAGATTGATTATGGAACTGGAATAGTAGAATATAAACACACAACACGGCACTCCACATGATTCAAAAGCATCTTTAAAGTCGCACGGGGAAAAACGTTATGCTTTAATTCATTTAAGAGATTGTTTGTGTGCTGCTGTTTTGATTAGCAACAGAATTCAAGTGACACTGGTATTTTCAGTGAGGCTTTATTACACAGTACAAGTGTACCAAAACTCAAATTAACATAATTTCTCTTATCATTCAAAACGCCGCACACTTGATTTCTTTAGCCTCGGCCCCAAAAAAACTCAAATCCTGGGTTTGCTTTTCCGCAGGGGGAAAATAATAATAATACAAATAAATAAATCACTTGTATGAATTGGCTTTGTGTAGTGTACCAAAACTCAAATTAACATAATTTCTCTTATCATTCAAAACACCGCACACTTGATTTCTTTAGCCTCGGCCCCAAAAAACTCAAAGCCAGGGTTTGCTTATTCTGTCGGGGGAAAAATAATAATAATAATAAAAATAAATAAATCACTTGTATGAATTGGCTTTGTGTTTGGGCAAAAAGTTGAAGTTTTTGGGCACTGGTCCAAGCAGCATTTCACTGGAAAACAAAGAAAACATTTGAAAGCTGATTATCATGAAAAGCAAAACTGACGGATTACAGTCACAGCCCCTTTCACGCTGCCTAAAAAAGACAACATTGACAGATGCGTTTTCGATCTCCTATTGCAGCTCTGATGTGACAATTTCGCGGGATCTTTGAGTGAGAGAGCAAAGGAGGCGTCCCGCGACGAGTCCGCCGCTCACCTGATCCTGATCCAGTCTCCAACGTTTTGACTGGCCATTAGCGACTCCAGGTAATTCCTCCCCATGTAGTACGGAGGCCTCTCGTTGATCTTCACGGGCACTCGCTCCAGCAGCCCCACCGGAATATACCTGAAACACGTTTTTGCCCCATCTTAAAAAGCTCGTACGTGAAACGGCCGCGCGTGACGCCAGCGTCCCACCTGCACATGAAGGAGAGCCACTCGAGCAGGAAAGTGCGCGTCTTCTCCACGCCACGCGTGTCCGATCCCCAGTGCTCCAGGCCGTAGTTGCTAAAGTCTCGGAGGATGTCCAGACGCTCGGCCGACGAGATGTCCCAGTGACGGCTCTCCTTGATTTCTGTGAAGAGCCACGGCTTCACCAGAGCACCCCTGGTGAGTGATCGGAATTATACGACGTCCATTTTATGATTTACATGATGATGCTGATTGAACTATCATCTATTTTACGACTTGTTAAACAATTCAAAATTCTTCTCGTGAAACGCCGCCACACATAACAGCCGGGTACTCTCTGCAGTTGAGTGCGTCTAATAAACGGCACTAATAAAATAATACACCAACCTTGCGATCATGATTCCAGAAACGCCCGTCTCTTTGGCTCTCGCGGCATCTTCGTAGGACAGAATATCGCCATTTCCTAAGACGAGACAGCAGAAACTTTCATTCGTTGTTCTGCGTGACTGAAAAATGCATCAATGTTTTCCGATCTATTGATCATTCTGATGATACCAAAGAGTGGGATGGGGCTGGCTAGCTTGGAGCAGGTGGTGATGTAGTCCCAATCAGCGAGCTTGGTGTAGCGTTGCTCTCTGGAGCGGCCATGCAGCTAGATGAACAACGCGAGGACGAAAAACAGGTTAGGCGGGCAATGTGCTGTTTTTATTTATTTTTATTTTAACCAGGTAAAGAAATATATTTGCTCATCAATCTATGCCAGTAATTGATAGTGCCAATTTTGAAACATTTGTTAACTCTTTATTGACCAGAACTCGTATGCGGACTAATCTCGAGAACAAAAAATAATTACCGTGATCATTGAGACGCCCCAATTTTTCATCTCGGGGATGAGTTTATGCGCGATGTTGTTCTTCTCCTGAACGCCGGTGCGGATCTTCACTGTTAAAGGGACATCCAGCACCTAGAATAAAGATGGAGAGAGAGGAAAACACAACAAAAAATGTTTCCTCCAAAACTGCACAAAATCATTTTAAACATGCACACTCACATAGTTCATTCCCCGAACTATCTGCTCAAACTTGCGGGTGCGCGTCATCAAGCCGCAGCCTCCGCCCTGAGCAGCAAAGAAAAAGGGTGAGTCATGTTTTTGGGGGGGACACCATGGCAAAAATCCTCACCTTCTTATATACGAGGTCGATGGGGCACCCTGAGTTAATGTCCACAAAGTCCACCTGTGTGCTGTTGTTGATGAGCTCGGCGCATCTCGTCATGGTGTCAGGGAAGCAGCCTTCCACCTAACGACCAAGTCAGACTCAACCATCCAGCAAAGACACGAGAAGTCTGCCATTTTGATTTGAGGCGGCCATTTTAGGGGGCGGTGGGGGGGTTATTGCGCTTATCGCAATTCTGGACTGCCAACGAACCTGGACTCCAAAGAGATCCTCGCTCTCATGCCGCTTGAGCAAAGCCCACTCGGACTGCTGACCCTGTAGCAGGTTGGTGCACATGGCCATCTCGCCGCAGGTGATGTCCGCTCCCAGACGCTTACACACGCGGCGGAACGGCAGGTTGCCGCACTGAGGAAATAAACGGAGGCGCACAATGAGCAGCTGCATCAGTGACATGGGTGAAAATTTCACTCGAGCGGCGCTTACGGTTGTTAACGGGGCGAGGTAGAGTTTATCTCGAAAGTCCACCTTTGAGGACAAAACACATTCATTCAGCCCTCTTCGTTTTGACTTTGATAGTTTATTTCCGGGGGAGTGGACGATACCTGTTTTTTCTCACACGTTCGCAACTTGATGACATCCACGTCGGTCAACGGGCCGACAGTCCTCACGGCGCAAGCCTTGTCCGAGTTAACCTGGAAAAAAAAAATAATTGGTTCACGTGGTGTCAGTGTAAACGCAGTCAAATTGAATATGTGAATAGACAATCGGAGACTGAGACTTCAAGATGCAGTGTGAATCCAACACTTAGTTGTGCTGCATCCAAAATTAAAAAGAAATATTGAAAAGAGGCATTTCTGTGATGTAAAGTACTTTTTTTTTTTTTTTTTTTTTTTACCTGCGTTTCTACATCTGTAGATTCACACATTGTCTCGGTCGGTGGACCTGCTGGTAAGTCAGTGGCGCCTGGAAAACGACTTAAACGATTAAGATGGGTCTTATGAATATTTGTCACGTCAGCGGTTCTCAAACCTTTTGGGTCCGGCTTTGAAAACTGCTGCCCTGTATGCTCAACAAACTAAAATGTCTCCCTACCATTGCCTTGTTGTTGTTTTGCCTCTTTGTTGTTGTTAAGTGTCTTGAGGTACTCCGCCGACTTGTCGAATGCAACTGAATGCTTCCTCAGACGATTCTGCAGCTCTTTGCTCAGGCTGTTCCTCACCGGCACGCGGCCCTCGTGGCTTTTCAACACGTCGGCGTTCTCGGCGCTCGTCAGCTCCGCTGTGGTGTGCGCCGCGGCGAAGCGACATGAGAGGCCGTATGTGCACTTCCCGAAGGTGTCGTAAATGTGGCAACGTTCGCCAATGTCGGGGGGCTTGTTGGCCAAGTAGGTAGCGACGTTGTGGTAGAAGTGGCACTTGTCGCCATAGGGACATTCCCGGTTGCCCTAACAAGGTCGGAGAGATGACCGTTGAGACCGTTTCATTCCAACATATGGACATACATCTCGTTTAAAATTCTTACCTGAATAACAGAGGCACACAGCCTCTTTTCATCGTACGACGTTGGTTTTTTGTGCGGCCTTGACTTGTTCTGCCCCCTCAGGCGTTTACCGGACGACTTGCCGCCTTTGTTGATCTCCTCTGCGTCCAATTTCACCCTTTTTATTTCGGGCTCCTCGGATGGGTCCTCAGACAACTTGTTCTCGCCTCCTTTTGAGCTTTGCCATTCGGAGTCAAGAAAGTCATGGAATTTTTCTTTGCTGGTGATAAATCTGTAAATGCAAGCAACGGAGAGGGAGGATGGTTTTCAGTCTGTTTCACAGTTAGGATGATGGTGAAATTTCCACTTTCATGGAAATGATTTAGGTGCCTTTAGATGCAGCAAAGTACTACCTTTCTATTAGATAGACAGCATGGCACTCCGACACTTACTTCAAGATATTGTATATTCAACTGACAAACAAAACTCAGCCAGTTTGGTAGTCGTTCATAGTTTAATGACTCACTCTGGTTTGAGGGCTGCTTCACCTTTTACTACAGCCTCTGTCCCCTTTGCAGCTGTTGTTTCCTCTGCATTTTTTTCCATCACATCTGCTGTTAACTATTAAGACGGGACATGCATTATTATCGTTCCAAAGTGTACATATCACGAGAGGAACATGAATACGCTGATCCATGGTGAGCAACTGGCGTGGCGCTTACTTACTGGTTTTGCTGGTGTTGACAGTTTGGCGTCTTCTAATCAGTGTATGCTAGCGGCTAACGCGAAGTCAATATCACAATTGAAACAATCGACAGCTAGCATGAGCTATGTCTTAATGCCAGTGCGTGTGCCAAGTGTAGGAAAATCGTTTTATTTCTGTGTGTTTATTGTGACGTAGTATTTATATGCAACTAAAGCGACCAGTATTCGAAAAGCGTGAAGAGGCGACAGTACACCACTTAAAAGGGTCCGGAAATGACAAACGAAGAACAATCGTTCCGGTCCGGCGTAAGCTCTCAGGAGGGGCCGTATAACATCATCAAAATCCTGGGTTGACTTGAAAAACAGTGTTCCGAAAGTAGAAAGCGACGTTTTCCTTATAGAAATCGTAATGTAAATAATATAAATATGTTTGTGTAAATGATTTGTTTACCTTATATTGCCAGCAGAAGCCATATTCAGACGTTTTCATAAAGACTTTGGCCCAAAAAAATTAAACTAATGCTGGTTAAATGAAGTTGCCCTCTTTAAAAAAAAAATCCCCCAAAGAAATAATACACTATAATGTGAAATGAATTAACAACAACACAAACACAGTAAAAAAAAAAAAAAGCTAAACGTACAGCACTTGTGCCGTTAATCCTTTGGATGCTTACTGAGCTGAAGTCTCACAAGAACCAATATGGATCACTTTTGGGGATTTCATGGTTTTTATTATAAATAGTCTTGATGTCTTCTTAGTCTCATTTGATGATGAATGTGCTTATCTTAATGATATAGAGCAATGCCCGGCATATTTACGGTTCGCTATTCATGAAGTCACCTGATTTTTTTTTTTTTATCTGTGGAATCTGTCACCCACTGTATATAATGACATAAAGAAAGAGAATTTGGTGAAATGAACTGGAAGCCACTTTCAACAACAACATTGAATGAACACAAGAAGCTACATTTACTCATCAGTGGAAGTGACTAATTTCTCGATCTTGGCTGAAAAACGCTTCCGACTCAAGTCCAGGATGCCGATCCCGTTCGCTTTGAAGTCATAGTTGATCCCACGAAGCTCCTCGAGTCTGGCAGCGACATTCTTCGTGCTGTAGTCCAACACCTTGGGCCTGTCCAATATCTGCTTCATGGTGATTCCTCCTTGAAGGAGACAGTCCAGTTTTGTGCTCAGCGTCACTGCCCCAATGTACAGAGCCATTGGATAGCCGATGATCAGCTTTTTGACATCCTCTTCGCAAGAGCCCAGCGCAATCAGCCTCCCCTGAAGGATGGCCAAGTTATTTTTCAAGTACTCGTTGGAGAGGTCCAGGATTTTTGCAACCGGCCCTTGAAGCGCTGTCAGAAACTCTGCGTCGCTCAGTTTCAGAGTAGCTCGCAGGTTATCAATGTTGGCCTTGACTCTCTTTGTGCTCCGGATAAGAACATAGAGGTTTCTGGAGATGATCGCTTTGGCAAACTCCTTGGGACCAGTCCCGCCTAGCTCCACACAGACGTCTTCCAGGAACTCCACCATCTGCCTGTTGAGCTCCAGGCTGTTTGAGAAGGTGCGAGGTGCAGTGGCCAGCAGCCGATGGAGGTCCTTGTTGCTGAGCCCCAGCGAAGACAAGTACGCTATATTCTTCTTCAAGTTGTTGTTGTCGCTGGAGCGGAAGAAAGACTCAGGTGAGCGGTCCAGGATGGCCACAATCTCCTCGTCGGTCTGGAAGATGTTCCTCCACAGCTGCCAGCGCTGCTCCAGATGCTCCAGGGAGCGGGTGATGGCACGAGGGTAACGCGATATGATGCTGGCCACGGTCTGGCGGCTGGCACCTTTGCCCTGCAGGAACGAAGCCAGGCCTTGCTCATTAGTGAAGATCCTACGGAGAACGCCGGGTTGACGCTGGCGTGCCATCTTCACGTCCACCCCCAAGAGATTCAAGTTTTCCAGAAGAGACATGTTCTCAGCGTTCACAGATGCTTTGGCACCATTCTCATTCGCTGTCACGCTGTAAAACCTCTGGAGAGGGCAACCTGTCACAGACTGTACTGTGATGCATTTAAAGGCTTGTTGAAGAGTGGATAATCCGTGAGGTCCTTTTAAAACTTTGAACCCAGAAGCCATTTTTCAAGAGCGTGATATCCTTGCAAGCATCATGCGACCTGGAAATAGCATAATCACACTTACTATAAATAAAAATGCAGGCAGAAGCATCCCAAGAAATTAGAACTGATGTGAAAGCTTGGCTCTCAGCAATATTTAGAGGCACAGTGGCATTAAATTGTTACATTTAAACACTTGGGGACTGTGATAAATGTTCAAACAAAACTTATTGTGTCTCCTTTAAGTGACTTTCATTTTTTATTTCCTTTGCGCCTGAGTAAATTCTGAAGTAGTTCAGTATCATACTTGATATTTTATGGCGAGATTTGATTTAATTCCATGTAAACAGTAAGGTAATTAGAATAAGATCATTCACGTTTATCATCTAGTTGTGTCTCAATGAAACAAGCCTAATTTAAACGGCACTGAATTTTGAGGCCCATATTACGAGTACAAAACGTAAGCGTTTAAGGAGAAATATAACAAGTGATTAGCGAGAGATAGAATTTAAATATATTGACAACGTTAAAACTTTTATTATAACATTATAACAGACATACCTCCTGAGATAAAGCACGATGACAGTTTGAAATTTATTTATTTTTGGAGTCTTTTCTTCTTCGTTGGTTTTTCTTCTTCTTGGATGATTATTTACCAGCGATGTAGCTAGCGCCATCTTGTGATTGCCTTTCATTATTTAGCACCCGACCAGAAGGTTGAAATGGAGTGGCATGGAATAAATTGACACGACTATCTACAATAACAGTGCTTCCTTCGTGGTGTTTGCTTGTTCTCTTGTGCGCCCACATTCCCAAAAACATGTAGTTTTTCGGAGGGTACATTTTTACAGAAAGTACTACTTCGAAAAAATATTTGACTCTCCAAGTCGTACCATAATGATCAACATTGAACTAAGAAATGTTGTACGACGATCAAAAACAATGCAGTCTTTTTTTTCCCTTCATGCTGGCCACAGGCCACACAGACAGACTGATCCTTTGGCTCTCAACGGTGATGAGGGCCTCCACTTATGAATATTTTAACCGAAGCACAAGCTATTCATAATGCAAAACAGCTTTCACTCCTGAGGGTGATTAAAAAAATATGTAAAGATGAAGTAATAGGCAGCTGTTATGATTGTCGTCATCACATGCAATTACAAAGAGTATACCAGGATGAATTTTCTGCTTTTATCCTCTGTGATCCTGCAGAACCAGAGCTTCCAAGTGTAGAGTGTAATGTTTCTATGATAATTTTTGGGGGGTTATTTTCTTAACTAGCTCAGCCTTAAAACTTTACAATCATATTACACAATACTCTCATTTCCTTTAATATGCATTTAAATCCTGATCTGACTGTCGAAATTTTATGCTGCTCATGTTTAAGGGCTGCTGACACATTACTCCCTCGGTTAATGAATAATTCAGATCAGAGCCTAAACTTTCAGAGGCCCAGTAGTTCCCTCTGCTCCTGTGGCACAAAAACTAACTGCTCACACAGGTGGCATCAAGTTAGACACAGTATGTCTAAAAGAAGATGGGTGGAATTCAAGATCTGTCAGACGATAAGTTGCTCCACTCCCATCAACAGAAGACACAGAGCGCCCTCGTCCTCCTCATCTGCCACTGCGGGTACGTTGCAGAGGAACAGAACGTTCTCGAGATGACTATTGCAAAATCTCTCATAGGTGTAATTTGACCAGAGTGTGTGTGTGTGTGGGGGGGGGGGTCAACATTTTCTTCAAAAAAAAAAAAAAAAAAAAAGTAACAAAAAGGCAGCCCTTCGAACTGGGACAGCTCTCTGTCTGTTACCATAGAAACAGCAGCAGTCATTTTGGTGGGAGAACAATGTGCTCATCACTTCATAAATGAAGTGGGATGGGAGAAAAGGTAATTATAAGAAAAGCCAGCTAATAGAATCTACTCTGTGCATGTTTTTTTTTTTTTTTTTTTTGAAATATATTTTGTCATCTTTCTCTTTTTTTCCCTTCAAATAATACAAAGAACACATTGACCAGTATTGGCACTTTTGGATGTGAGCAGTCCGCCTGATGGCCACACTATCAAGTGCATAGCAAATTATGATCCCATGATCAAAATGTTTTGTTTTGTGAGCAGTCGTAGGTTATATGGCTTTTCATAACATTTCATGTGAGATGTTCTTGGGCCTATATGGCCCATGGGCCATTAGTTGCATTTAAAGCAGAAAAACTAGTGTGTAGGACGCAATGTACCTGTGTACTCCTCACAGATCTGTTTCACGCTTGAAGGATTGATTTCTGTCTTTGTGATGTATGTGACTGTCCCATCTCTTTCATTCCTCAATAGTAGTAGTTGACTGTGCCTCCAGAAGTGCGGCCCAAAACAGCAACACATTTACTTTCACTGCAATCAGTACAATTAATCATGCGCGTATGTGTCAAGTTTGTTGCTCGAATCTGCAACTAAATTATATTTAATTTTATATGCATGCATACACTGCATAGTCATTTGAATCAGGTGTGTTGAAACGGGGAGGGATGGGAAACGGGCAGGACAACAGTGTACGAGGGCCAACTTTGTCATGGTTTGCCACCTGTAAGCATCCTGGCAGCTGTTGTCAACATCTTTGATTGTATAAACTTTCATTATTTACAACAATTCTCCAAGTCCTTGAAGGCATCACCGATGGAATGCAGGGAGCGTGGCTTCAGGCCACCTATCAGACGTCATCACGCGCGGGGTGTCACGTTTACGTGGAAAACAACATGGCCGCCGACTGCCAACAAGGAGGCAATCCCTGAGAGAATGCGAACGGCGGCCGACTGGAAGCCGGCGCGGCCCCCACACACTTCACCACCGGTGCTGATGCACCGTCTGTGATCCCTTCTCCGTTTGTTTTAGCCACGGTGAACATGGAAGACGAGGAGCGGCAAAAGAAACTCGAGACCGGCAAAGCGAAGGTATGACTCCTCCGGTGGTGGTATCACACTGTTAGCATAACTCTTTTAACAACTGCCTTTTTGCTTTAAAAGTCCTTGTTGTGGTCTGTCAGTTGTCCCCCCCCCCCCCCCCCCCCCCCACACACACACACACACAGCTGTCAGTCCTAACGTGCGCTCCTAATTTGACAGCGGGTTTGCCTATAACCTTTACTAGCTCCCTACATTGTACACGCTAGTGTCATTCTGCATGAGAAACGTCATTGTTTGTTTAAAACTGGAGTGCTTCAAGTGAGTACATTATCGGCAAGTAAGTGGAGGCTTTCCGACGCCTCCCCTGTCGGGACTCTGGCAGGCAGGTGTAACAGGATTTACAAGACACAAATCCCCCCCATTCCAGACTTGTGCTGCCTTTGCTCTGTCCATTTGCACCCCTGCTAATTAGGTCACAATTACATTACCCACTTAGTATACATGCCTACAAACCTATTGTGCTCCAACCATTTGCAAATTGATTATAATATACTGTGCCTTGCTTCCAATGCTGAGAGGAAATCGAAAATTAATCACTGGAACACAGCTGGGAACTAAAGTTCCCTCCCCAAGTATTGATTCTATGTGCTTTCAATCTTTTGCTGTGCATTTTACAACACGATGCTGCTTTCAAATATGTTTGTAAATATGTCCAGACAGCATATGTTGCTACCCTACGTGGTTAGCGCTGGCCCAGATGGAGATACTTCTCCACAGACTCCCATATGTCCCTCTGCCAACACCTTCTTCCCTTCTCACCCCCAGCACCAGCGCGGCCAAGTAGGCCAGTTCGCTATGCTAAGCAGCTCATCAAAAGCCAAGTTTCCCCGACTGCACACTAGCGCCTTGTAGATTTGAATCCATCAAACTAGAGTTCTAACTGAAGCTCGCAACATTAGCTTCATGTACCACCTGTATGTCCACCTGTGGCACATACAACAGGTAAACCTCTGCGTACAAACAAAACAAATTGGCTGAAATTACCTTTTGGGCTAGCTAAGGCGGTTTTATTTATCTTGCGCATTTCAAACACAACGTAACTGAATGCGCTTCACGTAATTCAAAAAGACAACCTTAAAAAGCATTTACAAAGTAGCCGGGACATCTTCTGTTATGGCTCCGACGTGGCCGCTTCTCTTGCTCTCCCTCTGAAAAAGTTGTCTTCGCTGAAATCTGGTTGGAGAGCGCTGCGGATTAGGTGTCCCTCGTTTCAAGTGATCTAATTCAGTTAAACGGACGTCTTAGCTGGCGCACATGTCGGTTCAGCATTAAAGGCGTCTTCAGCAACGGACGGAATGTAGACACAAAAAAAACAATGGACAAGTGAGTGTAATTTGAGTGATTTTCTTTTTATTTATTTATTTTTTGAAAGTGTCCGTTTGAAAAGAGGATCAAGATTCTTGCCGAGATTCAGGGCAGTTTAAACTGATCGTTGACATGGTTTGAAGTTTAATCCTTTAGTCAGGATTAGCACCTGCTGGGAGAGCAAAAGACATGCGATGCATGTTACATGGATGCTCCAAACAGGGACGATGACATGTTTCGGTTGACTTTCCCCAAACTGTGCAGACAAAGAGTAAGTTAATTTGTTTTTTTTACGGGATGAACGTGCGCAAAAATGTCCACAGACATCCTTGTATTTATTTTTTTTCAAACATGTCTGTTTCTTTTTGCAGCTGGCCGAGTACCGTCAACGGAAAGCTCACGCAGATTCCCAGAGGAAGAAGAAGAAGAAAAAGAAGTCCGAGGAGGACTCGCAGGGAAGCGTGGAGCCGGATCGCTCAACGGGCAGGGAGGACGAGTTGGTCGGTGACCAACATGGAGTGCCGGAAGCAAATACAGAGGCACAGCCCATTGCTGAGCTGAGCTTCTCCAAGACACTACGCAGCGGGGAGACTGTCAAGCATGACCAGACGTACACTATCGAGGTATGTCCAAATTGATTCTTGAGGCCCGAGCACCTGACATCTCCTGGAAAGTTAAACGCCAGTTTCACTAGTTAACATAAAATTGAGTGGACATCTTGAAGTTTTTGGTTGTTGATGCCACACAACAGGAGCTTTTTAATTGTCTTTGTCGGATTAAGTCCTTGCCTTCAGCAACACCCAAAGCAAAACGCAAGGACGGTTTTTTTTTGTTCTCTCAAAACCCGTAGCATGAATGCCTTTCCACAGCAAAAGATTCTTATTTGTTGTCGAGCGTGTTTTGTGCCATTATTACGCGCTCTGTCGCCGGACTCCATGTGCTGTGCGTTTCATGCTCACAAAGCAGCGGTTGCCATGGAAACACACAGTCCTGACCAACTCCGGTGGCCTCAGTGCTTTTTAATCGCAGTTCAATACATTTATTTGCCTTTATTTCTCCGAGACTGCAAATTTCCCCAGTGTGGGACTAATAAAGGTTTTCTTATCTTATCTTAATGTTTTGCTGTTGGCTCGTTTGCATCCAACTTTCATCATGCGTCGCTACAATCTTGTGAAACGCAATGAAAAAAAATGTAAACTTTTTGTGCTTCAGCCCGAGAGCGAAGTGTCAACGACGGCAGAAGATTATTCCTCTGAGGTAAGACATTTGCAAGTCGGTCGGTGGGCATCATAGTCAAGGAATTATATGTCAAATGATCAATTGATTGTTGATATGTGTGTTCCCCGCTTGAGAGCAGTGTTTCCCAACCTTTAGTCAACCAAGACGCTTATTTGTCATTCCCCAAAAATCTCATTGCATACCACCAAAGAAAAATATCACAAAAGGGGATAACATAGATTAATGAGAGGCCTTCTGCCCTCTAGCGGAAGAGCGTTCAACGGTTCTGCCTATGTTGCTAGCATAGCTATTAATTGTCGTCAATCATTTTTGGCCACTTAAGTGGAATTGGATCGTTTGATAATCTTTCATTGCACCTTGGTTTGGAATCACTGCTTGAAAGTATCTATTTCCCAGAGATGGACATACTATCACCCTTTTTATTCCCCTGAAGGAGATTTTTCCAATTCCATTCGCACTCATCCATGTGATTCTTTCCTCTTTGGCCGACGCATTGTGACTTAACAGGTCAACGGCTGCCGTGAGATGACGGCCAATCTAATGACGTCCTCCTCCGAGGATTTTATTTGGGTACAGTAATCCGATCAAGCGGCTCTCTACTCCTGGACCCTGATGGCCGAACCCGCCGCTGACTCTCCATTCGCTTAACATATTCAGAATCTCCCCGCGCGCCAAGTATTGACTCTGTCCTAACATTTGAAATTCTTCTACATGCAGCTTTGGTGATAGTTGCACGCCCCAAGGTCACACCCTTTTCTTTTGCTTGGCTTATGGAGGTGCTGATCAATACAACCGATTCCGAGCACCATTTTAAAAACCTAGTACTCTTTGAGTTTAGTGAATTCTGACATTTATTTCCAACACAAGTACCAAACGTTCCTTCCTCAGCACCGCTCTCTGCTTTTCAAGCCTACTGCTGCAGCGCTTGGGTGTTATTTAAAGGCCCTCTTGTCTCCTTTTCGCGCGTCTCGCGGAAAGCTGCACACGCTCTCATGGCTCTTGCTTGTTCAGGAAGAGGCAGAGCGAAAGGTGATGAAGGGAAGCGCGATACAGGACGTCAAGGAGGCGCTTGCAGCCAAGACGCGGGCAGTGGAGGAGCTGAGTCAGGAGCTTGAGGAAATACGAGCTGAGTTTGGAACAGAGGGTGTACAGAAGGTAAATAGCAATTAAATGTGAAACATATGATGATTAGGACCCCTTAGGCTACAATATTTTTTTTTTCCCTCAAGGACGCATTCATAATCCAAATGACAAGTAAACATAACTACCATAGCATCCCTGAATACGATTTAGTGAATCTAAACATCCCTGACGTTTCATTGAAAAGAATTGACAAAATTGTCTCAAGATCAAGACATAAACCATTGTCCTCATCTGATTTGTGTCGTACGTCCAAAAGGAGCTAGTTAAAAGAAGCACAATCGTGGATGCCTCCCAAGTCTGCAAAGTGAGCTCCACTGTCTTTGCTTGCCCTCATCCCTCACGTTTTGCTCCCAGCTGCATTCATAATCCTAATGACAAGTAAACATAACGACCATAGCATCCCTGAATCCGATTTAGTGAATTGAAACATTCCTGACGTTTCATTGAAAAGAACCAAACAAAAATTGTTTCAAGATCAAGACATAATCCATTGTCCTCGTCTGATTTGCGTCGCAAGTCCAAAAGGAGCTACCGGTAGTTAAAAGAAGCACAATCGTGGATGCCTCCCACGTCCGCAAAGTGAGCTCCACTGTTTTTGCTTGCCCTCATCCCTCACGTTTTGCTCCCAGCTGCAGGAGTTTGAGGCCGCCCTGAAGCAGAGGGACGCCATCATCACCCAGCTCACCGCGAACCTCCAGCAAGCTCGCGAGGAGAAAGATGAGATCATGAAAGAATTCCTGGCGCTGACGGAGCAGAGCCAAAAACTGCAGCTTCAGTTCCAGCAGGTGGGAGATGTATTGGGCACGTTTTGTTTTGTTTCCGAGTCAATTATGTGTACCCAGGCCATTCAAAAGTTGATCCATTTTCCATAATATGCCTCCTCGATACATAAATACAGATGAAAGTTTTTCTGATGACGACGACAGTCGTTTTACAGCTGCAGGCCGGCGAGACCCTGCGGAACACCAGCCACAGCAGCACGGCTGCGGACCTTCTTCAGGCTCGGCAGCAGCTGGCGCATTACCAGCTGCAGCTGGAGGAGGCCAATATGGAAGCCGTCAAAAACCAGGAGAAGAGCGACGGGCAGCTGGAGCTCATCGGTCAGCTCCGACGGAAAATCGGCGACATGGAGTCGGTCAGTTCCATGATCTTTCTGTTCCCTGTCGGGAGTGATTCCCACGATTCCTCAAATGGTGGCCTTTATAAAAATGTATTTATTTCTGGAAACGGACGTGCACAAATGTGAATTTGGTTTGAACGTAATCGTTTCTGTTCAAAATGGTGAAATGTCAGCAACTCACTGAAATTGAAAGAGGCCACAGTTCAACACATCAGGAGCTTGTTTGCTAAGCACCGTATGTCAGGTGCGAAAGGAGTTTAAAACGAAACAAAATTCTCTACTTGAGGCCGCTTATGTGCCACGGTAGGTTGAAGCTGTTTGATTAGCAGCAAGTTAACGTTCGCTTGTGAACAAAAAAAAAAAGTGCCGCCTGAGGATTTCGGAGGTACGTAATGAATGGTTAGTGTTTCTTTTGTATGTCTAATACCCGACTGTTATTGTAGTCAGGGAGAAGATCGGAGGAATCATTCACACAAAGGCTTAATGAGAAGGATTTGCTCCTCGCCGAGAAAGAAAAGGTCATCATGAATCAAGATCAGTCTCTTGCCGAACTGAGAGCAGCGGAAGAGACTCTCGCCACCACGCTGAAGGAGAAGAACCTGCTGCTGTCTGAGCAGACGGCGTCTCTGAACCTCTTCCGAGAGGAAATTGCCATTTTGGGACAATCGGCGAACGACATTCAGGTGTCGGATGAGAAGGACCTGATTATAGCGGAGCAAGAGAGGGTCATTTCCGAGCGGGATTGTTCTTTCAGCCGGCTCGAGGATGAGCTTGAGTCATCGCGGCAAAGCGTGCGGGCTCTCCAGCAGCGAGTGGCCGTGAAGGAGTCGGAGCTCGAGAAATGCCTGGGCGACCTGCAGAACGCCAAGCGTGATTTAGAATGCAGTAAAGGCGAAATGGAGAGTTGTAAATCGCACCTTGAAAAAGCGCGAGGCGACCTACACAGCTGTCAAAGTGAGCTCGCCGGCTCCCGGCGGAGGGAGCGAACGTCTTCTGATGAGATTAAGCAGCTCATGGGAACGGTCGAGGATCTGCAAAGGCGTTGTCACCGGGACAGCCTGTCCGAGGGTGACGCCGTCCAAAGAATGCAAGAGGACACCGTCCGAAAGCTGGATCTCCTCAGGGCCGAGCTGGACGAGATGTATGGACAGCAGATTGTCCACATGAAGCAGGAGCTCAACCTGCAGAACACGGTGCGCATGGAGCAAGTCGCAGCGCAGCATCGCGCCGAGATGGAGCGACATCAGGCTGAGGTGGAGCGGCACCGCGCCGAAGCGGAGCTTCTGACGGCTCAAAACTCCACCGTCAAGGAAACTCTCACTGGGAAGATTCAGGAGCTTCAAGCAACCTTAGCGGAATCCACAAATGAATTCAACCGGGAAAGGTTTAACCTCCAGGCCGAGCTCCAGAGCCTCCGTGGCGAGCTCCGTTCGGCGAGGGAAAAAACCGAGCTGGTGTCCAATACTCTCGTCTTGCAGGAGAGCCAGCAAGATGAGATGCGGCTCCTTTCGGACACGACCGACGACCTGCGCCGCCAGCTGGCCGCCGCTAGGGAGGCGGCGCTGCAGGCCGAGGCCCAGCACGAGTCGGAGACGACCAACTACAAGATCAAGCTGGAGATGTTGGAACGGGAGAAGGACGCCGTCCTGGACCGCATGGCCGAGTCGCAGGAGGCCGAGCTGGAGAGACTGCGAACACAGCTTCTGTTCAGCCACGAAGAGGAGCTGACGCATCTCCGCGAGGAGCTCCGTCGAGAGAGCTTCCTCAACGCCGAGAACCTCCTGAACGAAGCTGCCAGCAAACACCAAAGATCCCTGGATGACCTGCGCCTCACCTACGAAGACCAGCTACATTTGTTGCAAAAGGAAAAGGCTGCATTTTCCAACGAGCGAGAGGAGCTCTCGCACCAGATCGTCGGCCTCAAGGAAGATCTCAAGCTGGCCTTGCACAGCTCCAAAGAGGACGAGCTTGTGCGGCAGCTGCGGGAGCTTCAGGTCGAGCTTGAAGATCTGCGGAAGGGAGGAGAGCAGCGAGCCAGGCTGGAGAGCGAAATCCAAACTTTGCAGAAGAAGATGGAGGTTCTTCAAGAGAAGGATCGAAGCTGGGAGAGCAAATGGAAAGCGCGGCAGCGGGAAAATGACGCGAAAGCGGTGGAAATGGAGACACTCTCCGCTCAGCTGAAGGAGGAGATCGAAAAGCAACGCACCACGTTTTCCTTTGCCGAAAAGAATTTCGAAGTCAACTACCAGGAACTGAAGGAGGAGTACTCCTGCCTTTTTGAAGCGAAGACGCGACTGGAGGAGAGGACACTGAAGGAAGCGCTTGAGTTGCGGGCCAAAATCGCTGACCTGGAAGGCGAAAATGTCAAAAGGTGCGCCGAGGCTGTGGAAAAAGACTCCGCCAAACTCGCGGAGAGGCTGAACGTTACAATGAGCGAGAAGGAAAGCCTTGCGGTGAGGCTTTCCCAAGTGACGGAGCAACTAGTGGTCGCGGAGAATCAAATTGACCAATTGCAAGAAAAGCTGGACGAGGTGAACACAACAAGAGGAGAGGACCAGCACGCACACATTTGCTCCCTACGAGGAGAGGTTGAAGCTCTCCAGTCGCGCCTGAAGGCGGCAGAAGCTGAGCGAGACGGCATCCGGCGGACTTCGGAGCTCCGCGGGTTCTCCCGACCCTCTCCCTCCCACGTCCAGCCCCCGAAGGAACGACCCGTCGAAGGACGAGCCTCGCCGCAGAAGCCCGCCACCGGCGCCTCGGGCTCCAACCGGCGTAAGAGGCGTCAGAGGTTGAAGCAGGAGCGCAGAGTGAGCAGCGGCGGCTCCTCAGAGGCAGCCAGGCAAAGGGAGGAGGAGGAGGTGGTGGAAGAGGAGGAGGAGGAGGAGGAGGAAGAAGAAAGCAGAGCTACAAGTGCTGCAGAACGAGCGATGCAGACGGAGAGCCACGTTCGCGTCGATGTGGCTGACGGCTGCCAGGGAGATGGCACCAGCAAACAGGTAGAAATACGTTCACTGCATCAGCCTTTTTTTTCCTCTCTGCCTTCTTCCCTCGGATTCACTTGCTGACATGATGATGAAAGGCCTTTCTAGAAATCATATTCTCCACTTACTGCTGCGCGGAAACGGACTTGATGCTCCTCTAACGGGGAGGCACTTGAGTACCGTAAAGGCGCCCCGGTTGCCGCAAGACTCGTAAGAGCGAGTTACACAACAGGTTTTTGTTTTTATGTTTGCGCGGCTCTTTAAGCGCGACGGTTGTTATCGGAGGAATAAAATTTTAAAAAAGAAATGAAGAGCAATCGGTACACCCTTGATGTGGTGCAACAGTAAAACTAGCAAGCAATTAATGCCCCCCCTTTTTAATTGCTGACATTGATAGTTTGAAATGTCAGTTTCTCTCGCTTGTCAATTTATACCTGACGACTCCCTAATTCATCCCTCAGGAACTAACAACATGAATGGACTCATTTTTATTTTTACGTTGTGTTCCGTATAAAAGGAAGTGCGCCGGTAGCGGGCAATCTATCCACTCAGTTGCGCTGAACATTGCCAAAGACATGATGCGCCTTTACGCGCTGTACGTGCCGCTAAGCTGCAAATATTTTGTTGAGGTCACCTCGCATCACCGCACGTCCAACTTTTGGGGAAACAAAATCGGATTATTTCTGTAGGAGTTGACACAAGATAGTGGTTGGAAAAAAAAATGAGTAGGGATAAATGAGTAGGGATAAACTTTTGGAGAAATCAGCGAATCGTGTCTTGGCTGACTTGAAAAAAAATGGAAAATGTTTAAATAAGCCTTGATAAGCCGTTAAACAAAAAACGGCAAAGGTAGCGTGGCAGAGAGAAGACGAATCAACCGCAACAAAGGATTCAACATCGTAGTTTTCAGACATTACATTGCAACCGCCAGAGGTTATCCTTCAAGCACTAGATGATCACGACTAATAACTAAAGCTCATTGTTTTAGTTTCCATCATGTTTCACATATTGTCTGAGTTTCCATCTTGTTTTACGTGATTCAAATTTTTTGTCTGGTCTGGTATGAAAAAGCTGTCTTTGTTTCTTCCTTGGTAGGTCAGCACATCCGACATCGGACCTGCCGAAGCAGCGGCACATACATCTAAACATGTCAATTTAAATTATAATTTTCTCAGGTTATCAAATGTGGTCATTTAACAAAGCCAGTGAAACATCTCCGAAATACAAGGCGGCGTAACAGCAGTGACATAATTACTCAGCCAGGATGAAATGAGCTCTAATGCATAAATCACATTGAGTGGAGTCCTTGCTTTATGTTTACCATCCCGGTAATTGGCTTGTTCCTGCCCACTGTCATTGAAGTGGGATTCGTTGCACGATGACCGCTATTGATTCATCAGCAGAGATGAGCAAAATTGCATAATTGCATGACAGGAAACCCACGCTATTCGTGAAGCACAGGCACCGAGCCCTGCCACAAATAGCGGAAAATTTCTTTTATGGGGCAGAAGCGCACATCTACAGTCGACGCGGTAAATGCACATATGGCAAAGACTCTTTAACTTCCGCTAACAACCCAAGATTAACTATTGAAAAAAATATGAGTCTCTTACTTGAGATCTATCATGTTAACGCAGAACTACCATGACCTTGATTACTACTTTCCTATCAGCCAGAGTTTAGGCGCCATCTTGTTGCAGCTTAGAGCATTGTAGAAAAAGCACAAATAGGTGAATTTATGAATAGCGAACCGCAAGGAAGCGGGTATTCAACTGTGATTTTTGTATTCTCATCCGCAGTTATGTTGACGCAATTTTTAAAAAAAGCCAACTTTTTCCTGTGCTAAGGGCGAGTGCACTCTGCAGTTGGAGGCGAAGCGCATCAGTTTGACTCACATCCACACTGCTCAGCTGGAGCTGGTGCAGGAGGAGGCGGACAACCAGAAGGATGCCGGTGACCAAGGTCAGCTAATGGTGTGGTTGTGTAATGAGAGCGATTTGCTTTTTTTTTTATTTTCAGAAGGGATGTCTCGCTGACATACGTTCCGGAAACGTATTAAGTGAAAATGTGGGCTCTTGAGACATGAAATATCTTTTTAAAAATAAAACCTGCTTTAACAACAAGTCTAAGGTGTATAGAAAATACTTTACAGTAGTGGTAGGTCAGCTGCAATTCAGTGGGAAAGCTGTGTCTTGAATTGTGACTTTTGCCGATCAGATTCGGAGGAGGTTCAAAGAGTGAAGACGGAGGCGGCGGAGCAACATCGCCACCTAGAGGAGAAACACCGGCAGGAGGTGGAGCGCCTCCAAGCTCAATACCAGAAGAGCCTCGCGGAGACAGAGGAGCGCTGCGGCGCCGAGGTTGCCATGCTCCGCCGCCAACTGCAGGAGCTCTCGGGCTTGCAAGCCCAGGACAGGTGAGATTGCAGCAATAACCGGAAAAAGTAACCGAATAAGGGATTTATTTTTATTCGTTTATTGTTATTGAAACAAAATATGCTTTTCTTTGAAAATGTTCAGTCACCCCAAACGTTTGAACGATAGCATCATTTATATTATAAGTGTTTGGGAACAAAATGAGATTGTAAAAAGATATAAGAATGAATGGCCAATAATTTAATTTAGCTTTATCTTACATCATTTCACTTGTTTGAGCCTTTTTGACCTCTTTTTACTCACAGTTCGAAAGTGCCTGAGCAATCAAATCGTACTAAATTGATGTATCTGTGAAGTTTTCAATAATTTAACACTTAAAATGTGCCTGCAATGAATTTTAACAACCGAGAAAGCAAAGAATGCGAATTGTGAATTCACAACCGACTTTACACTTTCCGTGTTTCATGTTTTCTAGTGACCCGCACTCCAGCGAGGGGCATGGCGAGGAATACCCACAGGAGCTGAAGGTTTTGACTTCCTCAATTTATCTCGCCCTTATATACAATCCACTGCAATACATCTTTATTCACATAGTGCTTTCACTGCAGCTGTGACAAAGCGCTCTACAGAACAGTTAACATAAAACATCAAAATAGTACACAACGTAAAACATGGACAGTCATGCGATCGTAACAACTACTCCTACTAGCCTTGTCACATCATTATATCCTCCTACGGAGTTGATTGGTGTGCGGGCGCTAAGCGAGCCTGAAAGTCTGAGTGGACGCGGTAGCAGCCTTTAGGGCACGACGTGCCCTAAATATCCCCTGCCCCAACGCCGCCACCCTCCCTTTTTTTTTTTTTTTGCTCCAGAAGCAGCAGGATGAACTGTCCTATATCGAATGATTAAAAGGGTGGGACCTTACATAATCCGCCTGTATTGCGTGTACACTGCCGCGAATGGAGCTCGAGCCTCCCTCTTAGTTTGTCCCTTTCTTCCCATCCTCATAACTTTGAAAGTTCCTGTCTGATGTTCGGAACTCATCACGAGACGGGGAAACAACGTAGTGTATTGATCCAAGAGTTGAAGGGCGGTTTTGTTATTTCGCGCATTACCACACGCTCCTTACTTTGTTCTCGCTTCTTCAGGACCTCAGCGAGGAGCAGCTGTCCCAGTGGGCGTCGGGCTCCCGCTCGGGCTTGAGCGCCAAGCTGCAGGCGCTGAGGAAGGCGCTGTACAACGAGTACGTCCAAGAAGTGGCCGCGCTCAAGGAGCAGCACGAGGCTGAGCTGACTCGGCTGCGGCAACAACTGGAGAGCGAGGGCGAGCGACGGGATCTCAACGCCGTCGACGGAGGAGCAACGAGCTCCTCGGAGAACGTGGGTGTTGCTGGGCAGGGCGAGCTGCAAGGGCAGCTGAGTGTGGAGGTGGAAGTTGCTAAGGTAGGTGATCGTAACGTTATCGCTGCCAAGTAGCCACGGTGTGGATCCCTGCGTTTGCCCGACTTACTCTCCAATGAGCTCTGCGTGTCTATAACAGGGCTGGGCAAACTCTTCTCCGGCACTACATTTAATTTCTAAAACTGACAGATGGGCCAGGCAAAAAAATTAAATGTACAACCACATTTAAAAAATAAAATAAAATAATAATTACAAAAATATTAGGACCCCATTTTTTTGTTTCAGTCTCCTGTCATTTGATATGCCCGGTACAACTAAAGCTACATCTGTTTGAACAAATTTCGCGATGACAACAAAATAGAAATGTTGAAAGAACAAGGAAACGGCATTCAATATATATCATGTTAACCCTGCTGTATCAAATGAAGTTTTATCCAATTTGGACCCAAATGTGCAATTTAAATGCAGCGTCACAACCTGCGCTGTCAAACCCGATCGAGCTTTTGCAGCAATTTACATTTGTATTGAATTGGCATTGCACCGTGATGTCGCCGTGGCCTTCCTGTGTGGAGTTTCCATGTTGTCCTTGTTTACCATGTGGGTTTTTTCCTCTGAGAATGGATGGATTTGTGTTTACTTTTTGCCCCCCCCCCCCCTTTCAATGAAACTTGACCTTCTTTGAGTAATTCATCTCTTCTCCATGCGATGCGCAGCAACATTTCTTGTGTTGGTTGCGTTTAATTGTCTCACTCGCAATCCCTGATGTTAACGGCAAAAAAACAATGTCCTCCCGTCAATTATATGGCATGGCAATCTATTAGTTGAATGTGTAAATGAAATCCAAAGTTTCTCCAGCTCTTAAAAAATGTTGACCTCCCATGAACATTAAGAGAACAAGGGGAGAGTCAAAGGCATGAGTTCAACTTAAAAGAGGCACCGCCACCTTAATTATTGAAGTAGGGGGAACACATCAACATTTTTCTTCCACCCTTTGATCAAGGAAGATGTCGTAAAAGAACACATTACATCACAAATAAAAGGATCTCCGACATGAATGTCTTCTCCTCAGGCCATTGTCCAGATGTCAGTGGAGTATGCGCAGCAGACGGAGCTGGCCCGGATCAATAAACTCTCCTGCCAGGCCAGCACCGGCATGCAGACCCAGTCGTATGGCGAGGAGGCCGCGGAGGAGGATGCGGCCGTCTCTGTGGGCGCGTGGCTGAAGGAGGGGCGGGAGCGCCTGGAGAAGGAGCTGCGGGACAGGGACACTGAGATCCGGAAGCTTCGGGAGAAGCTGCGGCGAGCTGAATTGAGAACAGGGGAGAAGGCGAGTGTCGCTTACGTCTTACCTTCTCCAGTAAATCATCAAATACAGACACATTGAAAATTAGAGTTGTCACCCTTTATTGCGCCAAGGCACATATTTTACGGTTGAGAAAAAAAAATCTCACACCACACCACCAGATAAAAATGTCTGGAGAGGTGTATATCGACTTAAATTGTGATGGTTTCATCGAAATTCACAGAAAATTTTACTTGGTGTACACTCTCAATTCAGCATTAGAATAATATTTGCTGAAAAACTCACCTTTTGGCGTTTTTTGTGCTAAGGCTAAAGTCATTTATTGAAGAAAAAAAAAAAAGTAGAACCCTGCAAGTGGTGGAGAAAACAGACAGCTGAGATTTGGATCGGGCTCCTCTAAAGGTTAGCCATCCGCATTACTATCATCTCTCCAGTTGGTGGTGCTGCCTTGCTTTCTTCCCCCCCCCCCCCCCCCCCGCCCCCCCCCCCAGCTGCATCCCAGCTGCACCTGTTGCCATGGCGGCACAAAGAAACTAGTGTCTCACCGCAATCCAAAGGCGTTCAAGTCCGTCTGTGTTTGCGTCGTAAGGGTCGTTGTTTACGGGGTGGCCTGATTTGAATTTGCGTCGCCAACAGTACCGCTCAGGGCCGCTCAACGATGACGGGACTGCTTTCTGTTTTCTCCCTTTTTCCCGTGCAGCCGCTACAGATGAAAGAGGATGGTCAAGAAAAAGTTGAGGATGAGGAGGATGATGTTGAGTCGACAGACAAGGACAACGAAAGGTGATTATCACATCAATTTTAATGTAATAATTACCAGCGCAGTGGTTCTCAAACTGGGATCTTGGAGCTGTTGCTACGATAGCTCCCATAAGATTATTGTATTAATCTGACATTGTGGTCTTCATTTAGGGGCACATCACGTGGTCGGTACGCTGTGTTTATTTGGTGTTCGGAATATGAAGGGGTCCTTGAAAAAAAATAATAGGATGACACGATTGAGCTCGGTATTAACTTTGATTTCAGAATTGTCCTGCGCAGGACCAACGAGAGGCTCAGCCGCGTGTTGGCCGACGTCCTGAAGACCACGGCGGCGGCAGAAGAAACGATGGGGCTCCACATGCAAAGTCTGCAGGTGGATGCGTCTTCCAGCGGTGGGCTGCAGGCTGCCCCGTCATCCACGCCGCACGTCACAGGCACGTAACACTCATTTAACTCGAACTAACTTATGAATAGCGAGGCAACTACTCCACATCCTGGAACTGCAATTTAATATAGTGCTTGATACACCAACTACCACCTCAAAAAGGTGGTAGTAGAAATAAGATTGATGAGAAGTCATCCATAGTCAAATGAATGTTATGAGACCTCCACTTGTCAATTATTAATGACAACTGCCATATTTTCACAATGGAAATAAGCCCAAGAACTTGAAATCGTTACAATGAAATTCTGGAGACTCTCTTGTCACACACACGGGTGTTGACAATGTAGCTTTCGTGATCACTGACATTGCTCGCCAGCCATTCACGATACCACCACCTTGCACAATGGAAATCAACGGAACGATGAGATACGAGCCGTATCTCTTCTCGCACTAGGTCAGCCCGCCAAGTGTTCGTCTGGCGACAGCCCACTCCTGGCGGAGGATGAGGTGAATCTGATGGGCATCAGCGGTCGCCTGCAGACGGCCTTGGAGAAGATGCTGATGGTTATCACGGACACCACCAACCAGGTACCGAAAGGCTTCTCGTCAAATGTACTTTTCGAACTTTTCCACATACTCTGTATGTCTGAACCCAGATATTGGTTTTTCCAGTCTGGAGATGACTGTAGAATAGGACCTTTCAACAAAGTGAAAATGTCCCCCCCCCAGACGGCCTTGGAGAAGATGCTGATGGTTATCACGGACACCACCAACCAGGTACCGAAAGGCTTCTCGTCAAATGTACTTTTCGAACTTTTCCACATACTCTGTATGTCTGAACCCAGATATTGGTTTTTCCAGTCTGGAGATGACTGTAGAATAGGACCTTTCAACAAAGTGAAAATGTCCCCCCCCC